TTGTATCCTGGGAGACAGACATCCAACGTTGCCTCAAGCACTTGCCGGAGGGGACAAATCAGTTTTAAGGAAAGCGTGGTTCACGTGCCTCGACATCCTTCAAATTTTGTTTTCCGAGTTTAGTAGAAAGGTTGAATTAGTGTTGTACAATATCGTTATGTTGATCTTGCAAAAGTTTTTGTTCTTCTTTGTATTTTCTTTACTTTTGCTAACAAAATGTACTGAAGAAATTTGTTACTTCGTCCTCATCACTGCCCATTTGGATGTGCTCCTGAGTTTCTTGAGCATCGTATGACTAGTCCATGTCGGTGCATGCCATCTCTTCTTCTCCTTCTTAAAAGTAATAAAAAAAAATTAAGCTCACTAATTATCAAATAACAATAAACAAGAATATATATATATATATATTATTAATAGAGAATTAATAAAGAAAGGAACAAGAAAAGACCTTTTTCGTCATCTTATGTATCTTCATTAGTGTCCAAATTAGAGTTTCCACGTAGGAAACGTAGTCACACTCCGTATAGCTCCATGGATAATCTTTTTTACCGACAAGAAATTCATTGCACATTTTCACGTCAGAGCCACAAGAATCACCACTAACATCTTTCTTGTCATCGGTTTGCACATATGAGGATTGCGTATAATTAACGTCCATGTCCATGTCCATATCTATATGGCTCCAAGAATATTCTTTATCACCCAAAATGAATTCACTCATGATTTGCCACTTCAAAACAACATCCACAATCGACCGTCGTTGTCGTTGTATCCTGGGAGACGGACTACCAATGTTGCCTCAAGCACTCACCAGAGGAGACGAATCTGTTTTAAGAAAAACGTGGTTAACGTGCCTCGAAATCCTTTAAAGTTTGTTCTCTGACTTTGGTAGAAAGGTTGAATTAGTGCTATACAATATTGTTATTTTGATCTTGTAAAAGTTGTTGTTCTTCTTTGTATTTTTTATACTTTTGCCAGCAAAATGTACCGAAGAAATTTGTTACTTCATCCTCATCACTGCCCATTTGGACGTCCTCCTGAGTTTCTTGAGCATCGTAAGACCAGTCCATGTTCGTGCATGCCATCTCTTCTTCTTCTTCTTCTTGAAAATGATAAAAAAAAATTAAGCGCACTAATCATCAAATAACAATAAAAAACATTATATATATATATATATATTATTTATTGAGAATTAATAAACAAAGGAACAAGAAATGACATTTTTCGTCGTCTTTTATATCTTCATTAGTGTCCATATATGACGTTTCCACGTCGGAAACGTAGTCACACTCCGTATAGCTCCATAAATAATCTTCTTCACCAACAAGAAATTCATCGCACATTTCCACGTCAGAGCCACCAGAATCACCACTAACATCTTTCTTGTCATCGGTGTGCACATATGAGGTTTGAGCATAATTAACGTCCATGTCCTTGTCCATATCCATATGGCTTCAAGAATATTCTTGATCACCAAAAATTAATTCACTCATGATTTGCCACCTCAAAACAATGTCCACAATCTACCATCGTTATCGTTGTGTCCTAGGAGGCGGATATCCAACGTTGCCTTAAGCACTCGCCGGAGGGGACGAATATGTTTTAATGAAAGCGTGGTTCACGTGCCTCGACATCCTTCAAATTTTATTCTCCGAGTTTGATAGAAAGGTTGAATTAGTGTTGTACAATATCGTTACTTTGATCTTGTAAAAGTTGTTGTTCTTTTTTGTATTTTCTATACTTTTGCTAACAAAATGTACCCAAGAAATTTGTTACTTCGTCTTCGTCATTTCCCATTTGGACGTCCTCCGGAGGTTCTTGAGCATCGTAAGACCACTCCATGTCGGTGCATGCCATCTCTTCTTCTTCTCCTTGAAAGTAATAAAAAAAATTAAGCGCACTAATTTTCAAATAACAATAAACAACAATATATATATTATTTATAGAGAATTAATAACGAAAGGAACAAGAAAGGACCTTTTTCGTCGTCTTCTGTATCTTCATTAGTGCCCATATAAGAGGTTTCCATGTAGGAAATGTAGTCACACTCCATATAGCTCCATGAATAATCTTCTTCACCGACAAGAAATTCATCGCACATTTCCATGTCAGAGCTATCAGAATCACCACTAACATCTTTCTTGTCATCGGTGTGCACATGAGGTTTGAGCATAATTAACGTCTATGTCCTTGTCTATATCCATATGGCTTCAAGAATATTCTTGATCACCAAAAATTAATTCACTCATGATTTGCCACTTCGTAACAATGTCCACAATCTACTTTTTTCCTTGTATGGAGAGAATGTACTTAACAAAAGGCCTAACAACATATATGTGTGTGTATATATATATATGGTGTTGTAAACCCGGTATGTTCATACTATTGTATATTTAATTATTGCACAGAGAGACCGAGTAATTACTTTTGAAATCTTCTTTTACACAAAAAAAAAAGAAAGTAAAAATTAACCACACGGTAAATTCACTAGAGTTGAGTCGAAAAGATAGCAATTTTTTAAACATATTCTGGGAGTAATTACTTTTGAAATCTTCTTTTACACAAAAAAAGTAAAAATTAACCACACGATAAATTCACTAGAGTTGAGTTGAAAATATAGCAATTTTTTAAACATATTCTGGGAGGAGTAAAAAATAGCATATAAATTATAGTAACGATCTTGAAGTTTATAAATGATATTAATTTTGGTATTTGTTGGAATAATATCCAAAATACTCCTATATTTTATCAAAATATCATTTTCGCCCCTCTTACTATGTAAATACCTAAAATATCCCGTGTTTATAAAGACAGACCCAAAATACTCTCCTAAAATACTATGATTACCCTTCCCAATCTTTATCAACTACAATCTAAAACATTAATAAATCAAAATATTAAATAAAATCAACCTTAAAAATTGAAAAACTCTCAAAATAATTGAAGTATTTCTTTGATTAGAATATTCATTTGAGCATTTTTAAAATTTTTTTTTGTAACTTTTTAGTTAGGTCATATCTAAAATAACATTTCATACAATTTCGGTAAGGTAATAATAGCATTTTCAAAAATTTAACTGCTTCAGACAATGAAATAGATTATTCTCACCGGTGCTTTTTTTAATTTTAGGCTCATTCTACATTCGGCATTTGAACTTTAAAAATTCTAACTTTATTTTTTAATAAAAAAAAGAGGTTGATGGTGTTAAATTTTTTATTTATTTATTTATTTTTTGCTAAAAGCTATTGAAGTCAATTTGTAGATGTCAAATTGATTGATTACAAAATAGACAAAGAAAGATTTAAGAAGCGATAGGGATAGAACTGCAATGTCGACCTATTATCATGCTAGTTACTCTACAATGTCGACCTATTAAAAAGCTCTTGTGTGCACCAAAGAATATGCATATTAACTTTCACAGCCTCCATTAATGAAGAAGGGAAAAGAACTATGCACATCGGAAAAAAATAACTGAATAAATAAATAAATAAAATCCACCAGAAGTATGTATGAAGAAACATAACCCGTACAAATAAATGTTTGAGCCCACTTTCTAACTACTTGTTGGTAAAATATGGAAGGTCAGGGGTCGTTTAGTTCGCTGATTCGAGTTGAGATGTGATTTTATGTGAGAGCTTTTTACTGTAGTAAAAAAGTTAGATGTGATTGTTTTTAAGAGCTTTTTATTATAGTAAAACTCGAATTCTAAACTCGAATCGATAAAATGAACGGTACTTAAATTTGTTCAAATAAAATATTTTGACATAGAAAAGGGGATGTCGGCACAAAACTGTTTCACAAAGTGCATCTCTGAGGCATTAATCTGATGTAACATTGATTGCACAAGGCAAGAGATAAACAACAAGAATAAGAATAAACAACAACAACAACAACAACAACGTAAACTTTGAAGATTGTTCAACGTAAACTTTGAAGATTCCTTGGCCCAGTGAACCTTTGATTAAAATTTGAATGTAAAAGCTTCCATTCGTAGCATTCCCCTTAAAAAGTGTCGTATACTTTTACAAGTAAGTTAAAATTATCAAAGCTGTTAGCTTAATATGTAGGATATTCTGAAATTGATCTGTAAGCCTTGTGTGAAGAAGCTGCAACCAGAGAACTAAGCAACAGCAGGGGATTATTAAAAAGGGTAATAGTTCGGGTTCCCCTATGACGAGAGACAAAAATTTTACGCTATTAATTAGACTCTAATTATGAATTGATCTGTACAGTTTTCAGATTAATGTTATGCCAAGAAGGTAGAATCCTTCCGTTTTACAACGTTTACAGCTTATGAGAATCATAGTGTAATGGTCAAATGAAAAAGTAACTACATTAAGCAACAATAATAAATAAATAAATAATAAATTTTGACATGTTTCTAATAACATCGTACTTGTACATCCTCTGGCATTTACATCTCTTCACATGAAAGTGATCACCCTTGAGAGGTTATACTTGTGACTTCGCCTAGTTAGGTTCATTTATGTTTGATAAGGCTTCCCCTACTGAATTGTTGTGAAGAAATTTACAAATGATTATAAATAATTTGGTTTCGTAATAATGGATTAACCTTGAAAAGCAGCCAACAATAGTATAAGGACATAACAGAAACTAAAGGTCATCAGCACGTTAGGCATGAAATAAAAATCTTGGCCAAGAAAATGACACATTAAGATATAAAGAAGATCTTTTGAGCCCGATATACCAAGAGTGTCTATCTGTTCTTGCTGGCTGATTATACAAAACAAACGTATAGTACAAAATCCCCTTAACTGTGAAATGGTGACCCATTCTCCAAGTTGCACATCCAACTAGTGATGGAAAATGATCCGACACACAAGCACACCTTAGCCCCCCCACAAAAAAAAAAAAAAAAAAAAGCAAAAAATTTCATAACTCATCGTCTATAAAGCCCAACAACCCAAACCCATTTTTCCACATCTCTCACAAGTGCCTAAAAGTACTTTTTTTTTTTTTTTTTCAATCCCCAAACAACAATGGCTTTTAAGGCTGCTGCTTCAACTACTGCTCTCCTGTTGTGTCTCAACTACCTTGTTTTCTTCACTTTGGTGAGTGGAAATTATTGCCCACCACCACCAAAGCCCAGGCCACCAACCCCAAAGCCCAGCCCAAGTCCCTCTAAGGCCACTTGCCCAAAGGACACCCTTAAGTTTGGGGTGTGTGCTGACTTGTTGAATGGCTTAGAGCATGTTATTGTGGGGACCCCACCAGTGACCCCTTGTTGTTCTCTTCTCAAAGGCCTCGCTGATGTTGAAGCTGCTGTTTGCCTCTGCACTGCCATTAAGGCCAATGTTTTGGGGATCAATCTAAATATTCCAGTCTCCTTGAGCTTGCTCTTGAACTACTGTGGCAAGAAGGCTCCTAAGGGCTTCCAGTGTGAATAAATTTTATATGGTGTTTGAACTTTACTTTTATATACATATATATATGATGTTTTTAATCCTTTAATTGGTTTGTTTAATCATGCTTCATCAGTATTTGTGACTTCTCTGTTGATCAATGTGGTTGAGATGACCATAACCTTCTTATCATTATCTGGCTACGACCTTCTTCTGCACATTGTTTGGTTACAAAAAAGTTGTACCCTTTGGATGTTGTTATGAAATAATTATGCTTATTGCATACATTCTCATCTCTTTCATAAATTGAAAAGTGTGCATGGTAAACAATCAAGTAGTATCCATGTTACAAGATGTGGGTGCCTCTGCATGATGAATACTCAATGTCACACTCTCATTGTAGGAATTACAAGTAATATTTGAGAAAAATATGTGTTAGAAGTGTGTAAACAAAAATCCCATTTTGATTAGTATATGAGATGAATAATGGGTTTAAAATGGCGTAAGGAGATTCGCCTAAATAGCAAAACATGCAGTTTCTCATTTCAATACTACATTGATAGGCAGGAAAATAAAATGAAAGTAACACCCCTAATTCTTGGTCATATATCAACCTAAAAATAAGAGTTTAACATCATTAATTGTCGTGCAACAAATGCATGGACTGGTCTAAGCTACACAAATCAAGCTAACTAGCTTTATTTCATAGACAAACAACTGAAGTACAATTCTAGCCAAAAAAACAAACACAAATACACACACTTAAATCACATTTGAGGAGAGACATAATTTCTAATCAACCACAGACAAATCCTTGAGGAACCTTCTTCCCACAGGAGTTAACTAGCAAACTTAAAGCAATGGGCACATTGAGCTTGACAACCCCAAGAACATTGGCCTTAATGGCAGTGCATAAACAGAATGCAGCTTCAAGATCTGCAAGGCCCTTTATAAGGGAACAACATTCCTCACTAGGTTTAGCCCCAATGACCTCGGTGACCACCCCGAGCCAGCTTCCACAAACGCCAAACTTGAGGGTGTCTATAGGGCACTTGCCTTGCTTCTTAGGCGCATTGGCGGGTGGAGGAGTAGTACCCTTTGGAGGGCATGGAACGTTATTAGAGGAGACACAAGTGAAGAACACAAGGTTAGACACAATGAGAACTGCTACAAAAACCCTGGAACGGTTAATACTGCCCATTAAGATCTTCATGATTTGACAAATTTTGAGTTTGGTAAATCTTAGATATATATGTTTTTATGGAGGGAAGAATGGTGGGTTTTATTGAGTTTTATCTAAGGTATAAAAATAATAATAATAATAATACTGTGGGCTCAAAAAGAAGATGAGGTTATAGTGGCTAGAATTAATTCATGGAGGATCTTTTTTTATGCATGGTATGAGTGAAGCCTGCAATAATTGTTGTTTGTCTTTGGCTCTATCCACATTTTGTGGTTGGTAGAAGCTATGGATCTTGTGCACAATCTCATATTCTTTTCTGGTTGCTGAAACTTTGTCTCTTACTTAAGTTACTAGCATGGCAAAATCATCCAACAGACCACAAGGGCCACTGTTTAAAATTGGTCATTTCTTATATTTTCGCAAAGTTTCATTCATTGCCTTTGGAGCGTTTATCGCAGTTTCAATCTGGAATATTCTCGTCATGTGAACAGAGAAATTGGTTGCATACGGGCTTAAGATCAAAACATGGTCGATTTTTTTGGCAAACACATCATCTGGTATGCCTCGAATGCTTGAAGAATGACGGCAACAGAGAAAAACGACAATAGCATGGGAAAACTACAGCACTAGAAAAAAGCATAATATCAGAAAACGACCATAATTTGATAAGCGATAATATGACTGGAAGATGACACATTTAAGAAATAACAATTTATAAAACAGGAAAACAGCTTAAATCTAAGTTGAGAAACGAAAGGCTATTAAAAAACATCAAAGGAACATTAAAAAAACAAAGCAATAAGGACCTAAAACTAAAAGGGACCTTATCTAATAAGTAGCAGATTAATTATAGTTATAATTCGAGTCGACCGAGTTTATTAATTGCTATATTGATGAAAGATCTTCGTAGACCTTTTTTTGAAGTAATAATAATAATAATAATAATAATAATAATAATATCCTTCTATATCGAGATTTTTTTTTTTTAAAGGAAACAATGCACTCTTTTTAATCCGCTGAAGAGTGGCTAAAGCGAGAGACTAAAAATTTGCCAATTTTGAAATATTCAAATACGAAAGTAACAGATATTTTGAATTTGTTTCCCATCGTTCTTAAAAAAATAATTATATCGTTCTTTGCTCACATTTTTGTACAGAGCCTTTGAATCCCTCTGTCTATTTATGAACTTGTATTGTGCTCATAAAAATGTGAGGAGAGAACGTTATAATTATTTGATTAAGAGAATCAAGAGCCGTATTCTCCCCAAACCAAAGCCCTAAACAAGAGGTTCTGCTGAATGTTGAATATGAATGGATATTTATAGTTTTATATGTCTAATTGTAATTAGACTAGGAGTCATCTTCTCGAAGTAGAAAACGAATTCCTTTAGGACCGGCTCACATGGAGTGTGAAAAATTAGATTTTCTTTTTAATTAATGGCTAATATGATTTAGTGTAGATAATTTTGGATTAGATCAGTAGATTAGTTATTTTTGGATTCAAACTTATCTACTAATTTAAATTTTAACTGTTTTCGTTTTTCAAAAAAGAGAATCTCTCTTCTTATTTTGTAGGCCTTTTTTGTGCTGAATTTGTTACCTTCAGAATTCCTAGTAGAATTCTACTCCTCTATAACTATTTCCGTAAATGCTCAGTCAGTACGCGAGCGGAACACTTCCTTCTATTCACCAAAAATTCATCAATTGGTACAACATTCGTTTCATTTTTTTTTTCTTCATATGATTCCTTTATATGGACATGTGTAAAGCACTTGTGTTCAACTAGGGCTAATCAAAAAACACGTTTAGTGTTGTCTCCGACGATATTAAATTAAAGGGAGGACGAGAGAGAAAAATTAAAAGTAATTTTAACGGTACCCTTGAATTTTTAGAGTCTTTTTCAGTTTGTTTTCTAAACTTTAAAATTTTTCACTTTACCTCTTGAATTTTAAATTAGTCACACTTAACACCATTTGTAAAAGATAAAAAAAAATATAATATAATATATTTATTAGAATTTCTGTTAAAATCATATTAAAAATTCAGAGTTAAGTGTGGTGAAGTGTTCTTTTTTTTCTCTTGTTTTTAACAAAGTACTTCTAACAAAAATACCATGTGACCACATCACTCTTTTTCTAACTCTTCTAACAGAAATTCTAACAAAGAGAGTTAAGTGAGACTAATTCAAAATTCAGGAGATAAAGTGAGAATTTTTAGAGTTCGAGAGTGTTCATGTAAATATACGTCAAGCGCACGGTAACAAGTTTTAATAGTAAAGTGATGAGAATGGTTGTCGTATCCACAAGAATTGTAATCAAATTTTTTGCTAAGTGCTTTAATTAAAATAATTGTAACTTTAATAATTAAATAAAACAAAAACTTAGAAACTAAAATAAACTCAAGATTGCAATTGAAGGTTCTAGAGATTCAATTTCCTCTAGTCATCAATTATGCCTTTTCAATCTCAATTTATTACTAATTAGTTTTTTCTAGTTTATAAGCCAAGAACCCGATTATATTTCAACTCCCTCTCTCAAGTACTGAGTGGAATTATCCCTATAATCCGATTTTAATACCTCTATTCAAAATCAAAATAATAAAAGTTTATCATTGTTTATTATAAGCCTCACGACCTCTATAAAATTCTAGGTTGTGTTATTTTTTTATCACATCTAAAATTCTCTCTCTGGAGTGTAGAGTTATGCATACCAATTCATCTAATCGATACCAATCAATTAAGAAGCATTAAGAGCAAAATAACACAAATAAACCATGAAAGACCTCATAAAATAAATTAACAATTAAGACATAGTATCAAACCTCGGCTGCATCTCTCCTCTAGATAAAATAAGTTTAGAACATCATAAAAATAGATAAAAACAAAAAAAAAATCCTCAAAAATGATGAGCGAGAGAAAGAAAAACTAATTTGAAAGTGATTCAATCTTGTCTGTCTCCAGAATTCCCCTTCTTCATCTTCGTATCGGAATTCTTCTCTTCTTCCTCCCTCAATTTCCCTAAAGGGTCTGCAGTAAAAGTCCTTTGTAAATACCCTAGGATTACCTATCTATAGGTTTTGAGGCAAAGGATCAAACACAGAAAAGTTTCCCACTCAATCAGCTCAAAAAAACGTGTGTCGCTTAAGGACTTCGGCGCCATCAGTGTAGCGCTATATATTAAGCGCCTAAGCGCTAGTCATTTTGCCATAAAAGGGCTGCGCTCCCTTTTAAGCGCTGCAGTGCCCATAAATGGCGCCTAACTTAAGTGCTATATTTTCTTAAAAATTTATCATTGCTTCACTTTTCACCTCTCTTTTCACTACTACATAGCTTTAAGTCAAAACAATAATGTTCTAAATTCTTTCCAACTTCTGAACTTGAATCAAAGCCAACTCCAAATCATTCCAAGTCTGATAGTCACATGTTCTCCTAATTTTGCATCCAAAACACAAAAACTCGCATAAGACTCACAACCAACTAAATATC